TTTAAAAATACCACCTTGAGAGTTTCAGTTTCTGGGTTCTCCCTAGAGAGTCTGCAGCCCCTTCGCCTGGGAACCGTGTCTCTAGAAAACGTTTCAAGTGTTAGAACCACGGCCTGCATGGGAGGGCTTTTCAAGGTTTGTTTGTTTCTACCTGGAATTGAACTCAGGACCTCGAGCTTGCCAGGCAGGTGCTATGCCACTGAGCTATATCCTCGGCGCTGGGTTTTTCAGTGTTGTCAGGGGTGGAAGTGATTTTTGGAGCTGAATTAATTCCTTGGTGCATGAACTCAACATTTGTTTTTGTGGATTTGTTTTTTGAGACAGGGTCTTGCTATGTACTTCAGGCTGGTTTCAAACTCATTATGTAGCTTGGGTTAACCTTGAACTTGTGATCCTCCTGCCTCAGCCTCTCAACTTCTGAGATTATAGGCGCACCACCATACCTGGTCTGTATGCAGAGAGCAGAACATTCATTGCTTCTGGGTTTATCTGTCGTGTTAAGGCAAAATAACCAAAGGATATTACAGGGCCATTTTTTTTTTTTGTGTGTGTGCCTTTGAGATAGGGTTTTGCTATGCAGTTTCAGGCTGGCCTTGAACTCACATATGTAGCCCAGGCTGGCCTCCAACTCTTAGTGATCTTCCTGCTTCAGCCTCCTGGTGCTGGAATTACAGGCATGTCCCACCAGGCCTGGCTTGCAGGGCCACTTTCTAATGGCCATTTTGTTGAAAAAACAAAGTTCTGGGATTTCAAAATGGGGTCCTTTCCAGGGGACTTGAGAAACTACTCTTTTTGGGGTTTTTTGAGACAAGGTCTCACTGTAGTTCATCCTCCTGCCTCAGCCCTCTGTGTGCTGGGATTACAGGAAAAACTGCTCTTTTTTTTTTTTTTTTTCCTTTTTTTCTGGTACTGGGAATTGAACTCACAACCTTGCACTTATCAGGCAGGTGCTGTGCCTCTGAGCTATGTCCCCAGCCCCTGAGAAACTGCTCTTCAGGGAAGCAAAAGTTAATTAATCTTGTAGCTGTCCCCCTGTGGAATGGGGTATCACCAAGAATAAAAATAGCTTTCTTCTTTATTTGAAATAATGGTGTGAAATAGATGTGAGAGCTACAGAAAATAAGATCCAGGCCCCCTTTCTTTCTTTAGTTATTAGTGAGAAATAATGGCCGGGGCCGTAGCTCGTTGGTGCTGGTGCCTAGCGTGGGCCGGGGCCTGGGCTCGGCTCCTCCACCAAAAAGCAAAGAGCAAAGAGCAAAGAAAGTCAGGCTGTGAAAAGGCTGGACTACTCTGTTTCATGGCATATTATTAAAAACAAAATAAAACTTTTCTTTCTTTCTTTCTTTTTTTTTTTCCAGACAGGGTCTCACTATGCAGTTCAGGCTGGCCTCAAAGTGGTCTCAATCCAGAGGTCCTTGGCTGGTCTCGATCTTGTAATGATCTTCCTGCCTCAGCCTCCCAAGTGCTGGGATTATAGGCGTGCACCACCATGCCTGGCTAAAAACTTTTATTTCCTATGAATTTGCTCAAAGTATAAATTTAGGTTTAGGGGAGTTTATTTTTGCTTTCTGTTTTTTTTTTGAGTCAGTGTCTCACTGTGTAGTTCAGGCTGCCCTTGAATTCACTACGTAGGCCATGCTGGCCTAGAACTTACGGCAATCCTCCTGCCTCAGCCTCCCAAGTGCTAGAATTATAGGTGTGTGCAACACCCCCCCCCCGGGGGATGGTGGTGATAGTTGTACAACCATGCCAATGTCATGAGTACCACCGAACTGTACACTTAACAATGGTTAAAATGATGGTTAATAAGTTTCAAGTATATTTTATCACAACAGTGATAATTAGTACAACTATTTTGGAAAGTGATTTGGCAATTTAAAATAAAGCTGGAAACATAAATACCCTATGGTCCCACCAAGAGAAAAAGGAATTAATAATTACCATACATACTCAGCGGAATATAAACACGACAACTGTGTGCCATGACCCATCCACATACATCTACGTGTACATACACAGGTGTAGAGGTGCAGTCAGGTGTGGTGCTGTGTGCCTGTAGGAGAAGGAGTCTGGGAGGCTGAGACACTTGGATCACAAGTTTGGACCCAGCCTAGATGACTTACTGACTCAGAAAGCAACTGGCTAAAAATAAAAGAGGGTGGGGATGTAGCTCAGTGTGAAGGCCCAGGACTACAATCCCCAGCCCCGCAAAACAAAGAAATAAACAAACGTAATTGTATAATCATACGGGTATGAGAAAAATGTTTTAAACCATATAAGTCAGCAAACCTGTATCTCAGAAACAACACTGACGTGGCCGTGGTGGCAGGAGGCTGAGGCAGGAGGATCGATGGGAGTTTGAGGCCAGCCTGGTCTACATGGTGAGTTCAAGGCCAACCTGGACTGCATAGTGAGACCCTGTCTCAAAAAACAAAAAACAAAACCAACACTGATTAAAAAAGCAAATGGCAGAATATACATGTATTCTTGTTCTTCTTATAAACCCGGTGGGTGTATTCGTACCAGGTAAACTGATGAACCAGGACAGGAGCTACCCCTGGGGAAGGAGCAGGAGGTGGGGTGAGGGCCATGAGCTTCCACATCTGCCAGGATGTTTATTCCTTAACCTGTCGAGTACCCGGGTGTTACAGTCTCTCTCTTGTATGAAACAATTCACTCCACCCGCAGGAAAGGCAAAAGAAATCCCAAAAGTGTGAAATCCAAACCAAAATAACCCACCTCCGCTTTTCCCCATACATCCGCTTCCCATTTTTTTCTTCCGGGTGAGTCGTGCGTAGGTCATCTGGGGCAGGCCAGTGACCGTTCCAGAGGTGACCGCGGCGGTGAGGTCAGGCAGGGCGCGGCTGTTCACCCGCCGCGACCCCACCCCGGGGCGCGGGGCACCGCAGACAGCTTCCCCTCAGTCCGCGGCACTCCCAGCTCCTCCCCGAGAGAAAGAACTCTAACCCCAAGGCCAGAGGGTCTGCAGGTCCGGTTATGGAAGGTTCCGGTTTGTTTTCAAAGTGTGCCTTCCCAGCAGCTCCTGACACTGTGTAACAGGAGAGCCCCTGCTCAGCGACAACGGCCCCGCTGAGCCGGTCTCCCCCGGCACACACGCGCTGGCCTGGACCCCTCAGCGACTAGCCCTGGGCACCCACTAAGACGGGAGACGGAGCGAGCCGCCCAGCGCGCTTCTCAGAGCGGCTGCCAGCCCGGCCAGGGCTGCCATGGCAAGTCTGATGCCACTGCAGGGAGCCCAGCGCCGATCTTCTTTTCTCCTCGCAGCAACTTTCCAAGGCGAAGTTTTCTGAGCAGCAGAAACAAGCTATTCTGTGGCTTGCTGTCTGACAAAGGAAGCGGTGTGCGCTGGAGGAGGCAGTAGCAGAAAACAGGTCTGAGAAGACTCGGAGAGGATCTGGCGGGGCTGGGATTTGAACCTGCGTCACTCCGCTGGAGCAGCGAGTGGGGACAGGCACAGCGCTCGGAAACCAGGCACGTCTCCGCATGCGTCCTTGGCCAGATCGCCGCCTTCCTCTGAACCCTCTGAGCTCTGCCCTTCCTCTCATCTTCTGGAGGCCTGTGGGCAATTTCTGGACATCTCACACGGCACAGGTTAGGATTTCCTGGAAACACAACTTCAGTTTTCCATCTGGCAGTCTGTTCTTTTCCTGGAGAGAAGGGCGAAAACCACTATTACCCCGAGTGTAATAAACACAACTTCCTCCATCCCCTTCCCTATTTATCACGATCTTTTCTCCTCAGGGTCATCTTTCTTGACCAAATAGGATACATAAAAAGGAAGAAGAGCAGGGCATGAAGCACAGGCTTGTAATCCTAGCACTCAGGAGGCTGAGGCAGGAGGATCCCTGCAAGTCTGAGGCCAGCCTGGGCTACATAGTGAGACCCTGTTTCCAAAAAAGAAGTAAATAAATAAATAAAATAATAAAAGGAAGGGGGAAAAGGGAGAAAACTATGAGTGCCCTTTTGGAACTAAAGGAAACTTTTTTTGTTGTCGTTGGTTTTGGTTTTTTCCGTTACTGGGAATCGAACTCACGACCTTGTGCTTGCCAGGCTGGTGCTCTGCGGCTGAGCTAAATCCCCAGCCCCTAAACGAAGCTTTTTGGTTACAGATATTATGAAGTACTTCCTCTGACTTTCCTTTTGCTACAATTCTATCTCCTCTGCCCAAGGAGCTACATGGACAGAGGATCAGCAGAGCCCGGCTGCATATATGGGCAGACACATTTCGGACCTTATGTCCTGCGGATGGAGTCCGGGACACATCATCTCGACACACAAAGCCGGGCAGTCAGCCGATAAGCATCCACTGAATGCCCTGACTGTGTTCAGGGCCGACTTATGCGACGTCAGTGTGTGCAGATGCCAGCGCGGCAGCTCCCAGGCCAGGAGCCAGAGGACCTGCCAATTACTTGATTTGGGGGAAAAATACCTCCTCCTCCCAGGGCCTCAGTTTTCCCGTGTGTGAAACGAGGAGGCTGCAGTGATTAGCCTCAGCCTTTGTTTTCTTCCAACTAGAACTGCGGCAGGTCCAAAGCAGGATGAGTTCCCACACTCCTGATCTCCAGAGGCGCGCAGGGAGCCGGGGAGGCGGAGTCATTCGCTCAATGCGCGCAGAGCGGCTCACTGTTCGTGGGGCGCCTTCCCTGAAGTGGCGCACCGGCTGCTTACCACAGTCCTGGATTGTGGCGCTCGGGCCACACTGGCTTTCTACGCTTCTTCCTTTTTTTTTTTTTTTTTTTTGTCTTTTTGAGACAGGGTCTCACTATGCAGTTCAGGCTGGCCTTGAGCTCCCTTTGTAGCCCAGGCTGGTCTTGAACTCACAGTGATCCTCCTGCCTCAGCCTCCCGAGTACTGGGATTACAGACGTACGCCACCACGCCCGGCCTGCTACGCTTCTTGAGTTGTACCAAGCTGGTCCTGTCTCTGGGCCTCTGCGCATGCTGGACTTGCTGCCTCGAGCTCCCTCCGAGAACGGTGGCTGGTTCCTTCTTCTTTTTTTTTTTTTTTTTAATCTTTTTGAGACAGGGTCTGGCTATGTGGTTCAGGCTGGCCTTGAGCTCACTGTGTAGCCCAGGCTAGTCTTGAACTCGCAACGATCCTCCTGCCTCAGCCTCCCAAGTGCTGGGATTACAGGAGTGTGCCACCATGCCCGGCTTCCTTCTTCCTTCTCCTTCTTCAAGTCGCCTTAGCCGCGGTCTTCTCTGAGAAGGCCTCTCTTATGTGACTCTCTCTAAAGGAGGACTTCCTCTTCCTAGTTCGGCATCCATTTCCTTCTGAGTTCTCCCCGTGTTTAACCAATTTTTCCTGTTTCTTGTATTTGTTTGTTGGAGTCCCCTGTCTGTTACCTCCACGCAGGCTGGGGTCGTTTTTGTTTTAAACAGAACCATTAACCCAGTGACTAGGACACATCAGCTTTAACAAATATTTGTTAAATGAATGACCTGGCTGGAACCAAACGCAGTTAGAATTACTTCCCCATTAGGTCCCCTTCTTTCAGGTTCCCTGGACGAGGGCTGACACAGGCTGCGGTGCCTTCTTCCCGCTGCCAGGTATCTTTCCACCTTAACGATTCTTTGCCTTGCAGAACAAGGCTCTTGCCGGGGATATAGCGCAGTAGCGCAGCACCAGCCTGGCAAGAACAAGGTCCTGAGTTCCATTGCCGGTACAAAATAAAAGACAAAGGCCCTTATGACATCACGCAGACTCGCCCGCACCGCCGTGACGTCACAGCCGCGTTATGCGTCACGAGCGCGGACCCAGGCCCCTTTTCCATCCTTCTGAAGCCCCCAGCGTCCCAGACACAGCCGCGCACGCTTCCCACCCGCCTCAGCCGCCCGCTACGTCACGTCCGCCCGCCCCGCCGCGCCAGGGTG